TAAATAACCCAAAGTTCAAAATAATAAAAAGGGAAGTTAGAAAGTATTTTGTACTGAATAGAAATAAAACAGGTCAAATGCATGAGACACAGTTAAAGCACTACTTACAGAAAAATGTATAGCCCTAAACATCTATACAAACAAAGAAGAAAGGACTCAACCAATGACATCAGCTTCTACTTTAAGAAACTAGAGAGGAGCTAATTAAAGGTAATTAAGTATAAAAATATAATTAAGAGCAGCAATCAAAGAAATAGAAAACCTATGAACAATAAAGGAAGTCAGTAAAACCACTTGAAAATAGAAGACACAAATTACCAATATCAAGAATGAGATGATATCATTTCATACAGATATTTAAAAGATAATAAGGGAATGTTATGAATAAGTTAACACTAATAAATTCAACAACTTAGAAAAAATGGACAAATATCCTGAAAGATCAACTACCAGAGTTCATTTAAGAATAGACAACTTAATATTTCTATCTCAATCAAAGAAAATGAATTTGTAGTTTTGAGACTTCTCACAAAGAAAATTCCAGGCTTATAGAGCTTTACCGATGCAAACACTTAAGGAAGAAATACCAATTCTATACAAACTGTTCCAGAGAATTCTATGAGGTGAACATCACTCTGATGCCAACACTCAATTAAATGACCATATTTCACTCACTTCTTTAGACAGGAGAGTTTAGTTTCCTCAAATAGTATCCTTCAAATCCAAACAGTCTTCTGATGTCTTTAAGGAGCCTCTTTCTACCTGGAAGCTTCCTATTCTTGATTTCAGAGCAGAGAAAGCAGATGATGATTATAATCTAGTACACAATACCTTAACTATGGTCAATGACTCTTAGACCTTCAAAAATAGAAGCACTGTCTCTTTTGAAGTCCGAGGTCTTCATGTCTTAACAGTAACAAAAGTAGCCAAGTTGATTCTCTGACATATTTATTGTTCACCAAGCAGCAAAAGTAAAACGTAAGTCAAAATATCATTTTAATACTGTTCAATATCTTGCCACTCATTATGAAAACTCATCAACTATGTGAGGTGAAATGTTTCAAGCTGAAGGCTGAGAGCAAGCTGAAGAAGCAAGGTGCTCGTTGGATGTTGCTGGATGTTGGCCATGGAGTCTTACAGAAATTAGCTGTAAGTCACAGGATGTGAACATGCCTACATTTCCGGGAGTATGCAGCAAAGTTACACTGGTTATATTTGATGTTCCTGTCTCCTTTCCCGCATCGCTGACATCCTTCCTCCTTGAATTGTGGTACAAGCGGTCACCTTTTCTAATAATATAACACAAATACAAACTGCTACTCTCAGTAGATGTAGACAGATTTTGTTATCTTTACCTCTCAAGGACATTTTTGCTTTTTGGATTTTAAGAAGGCAGGGAAATATTGTAATAAAGGATGCAAGGAGCAGATAAAAATTTGAAGGAGACAGAGAGGAGAGAGAAGAAGGAGGCAGAGTTGGGGGGGTGATATGGAGAATTGAGGGAGGAATGGGAAATGAGAGGAGAAAGAGAAGAGGGAATCAAAACTGGAGAGAGGACAAAGAATGGACAGTAAGCAGAGTAAAAAGAGAAGATGAATGACAATCTCCTTTGGTCCCCTTTGCCCACCTCCATCAAGAACTGCTAGTGAGGAAAGTAGGAAGAGATTTTCTTTTTTTTTTTTTTAAAGATTTTATCTATTTGACAGAGAGAGACACAGCGAGAGAGGGAACACAAGCAGGGGGAGTGGGAGAGGGAGAAGCAGGCTTCCCGCTGAGCAGGGAGCCTGATGTGGGGCTCGATCCCAGGACCCTGGGACCATGACCTGAGCCAAAGGCAGACACTTAATGACTGAGCCACCCAGGCGCCCCGGAAGAGATTTTCAATTGATAAAGAACTTGCAATTAATTCAAAAAAGAAGTCAAGATGGGAACTGGGTAAAAGATCATGGACTAAATACTTCCTCTACACAGAATTTTACTATCTCTTCTGGCCAAAGAGAATAAACAAGTATCAAATATTCATCCCATCTCTAGAAAGTGAACTATAATGTATGTGTCAATATATCATCTATTTCACAATATCAACCATTATTCTTAGAGATCATAAGAATTCATGGCACTCCCCACTGGCCATTCTTTCTCAGGCTCCTTTGCTCGATTCTCCTCACTGAGCTAGCACTGAAATATTGCAGTCTGAGGGGGACTTCTGGATTCCTCTCCTTTTCTCTTGGTTCTCTACTCTTTGCTCCATGTGATACCATAAATCCCTGCTACTGTAGATACCACCTATATGCTTACAGGTCTCAAAAGTACATATCCAGTTAGGAGCTCTCCTCCAAAATCCAAATGTGTATATACCACTGCAAACTGGATATTTCTACTTGGGTCTAGGACGCATCAGAATAAAGATGTCTAAAACTGATTTTGCCCTTTTGGTAGTAGGTTGCTGACCTAAATTCTATTTCCAGCTGCCTTTTTCCCCTGCCTCCTTTCCTATGAGGCCATCAAAGGTCACAGCTCAGTTTCCCATCCACTCTGATACCTGGTGGTTTCCATGGATCTGCGTAACACAATTCTGGCCAACGACATATAAATCGGTATCTCCTGGTGTTGTCTTTTCCTTTCATCCTTCTTGAGGACCCGAACACAGATATAAGGCTTGCAGGTTCCACAATCACTTGGTGATCGTGAGGTAATACAAATGAGGCTGAAAGTTACAGCACCAAGGGTGGCAGAGAGGAAATAGAGGAAAAACATGGATCTCTGATGGTACTGTTAGCCTAGTTCGCTAGCCCTCAAAGGCTTTATTTCAGTGGCCACGTTATTTGAAATAAATGAAGGTGTACATGTCTAAACCAATATAGTCACATTTTCTGTTACTGGCAGCCCAAGTCATTCCTGACACAGCGTCCAAAACTCTTTCCTCTCTAAGTCTTGCTCATCTCATTGGAATGCTTTATAATTGCCCCTGATGCTCCAGCTAGAAATAAGGTGGTTCTTCTAGATTTCTCTGTTTCCCACAACCCCTCAGTCTTAACTGTCCCCTACTGAACACACATTGTAAGTCCATCAGTAAGTCCTGTGGTCCTTCCTCCAAAGACGAGGGCAGCACTGTCAATGGCTTTATCTGTGCTGCAGCCATCCCAGGCCAAACCAAATGCAAAAGCTTTTCATATGCTGGTGCCATCCCTGCCCATCTCTAATTTGCATGTTTAACTCCTTCCACCCTCAAGGCCCAGCTCGAGTGTGTCCTCAGAGAGGCCCCTTTTGATGTACCTATTAAAATTCTTCCCTACCCAAACCTCTTGCTCTCAAAAACTAGTTGTTTTTTTTTCTTCAAAGCACTTATTCCACCTTTTTAATTTATATATTGGGGTCCACCTGGGGAAATAGAATCCATACCAGTTTGTTTTAACAAGGAGACTTTAATACAGACAATTAGCCAAAAGGTCTCGTTTGACTTAGAAGATGAAAGAGGACCCTGAGGCGCCACAGAGACAGTGGGTGCAGGAGATGGCACCTGGGGCTGGGATCTGGAGCTCTGAAGGTCCCATGGAGGATGATCTGCAGAGCTGCTTCTCAGATTCTAAGGAGAGGGTGCTACCTGGCTGGTGCTGGCACCTCTGACAGGGTGCAATCAAGCCGTTTCTGGGAGTGCCGGAAAAGACTAGAAACTGCAATCAACTGGAGATACTGGAGTAAACTGCTTGACAACTGTACCCGCTGGAACAACAAGGAGGTGAGAAAGAGCAAGTCCCTTTCGGTTGCTCTGGCCTACATATTCCACACTGCTCCTTATGAACAGAGCCTAATATGGACCCACTTCGCAAAGGAAAAACGTGGTCTGCAGAGCCTCAGCCTGAGCAATTCAGAACAGCATATAAAAGGCTGAGTTCATGCGGAGAAAGAGGAACCCTCCTACACTGTTGGTGGGAATGCAAGCTGGTGCATTCCATACTCTGGAAAACAGTATGGAGGTTCCTCAAACCGTTGAAAATAGAGCTACCATACGATCCAGCCATTGCACTACTGGGTATTTACCACAAAGATACAAATGTAGGGATCCGAAGGGGTACGTGCACCCCCATGTTTATAGCAGCAATGTCCACAATAGCCAAACTGTGGAAAGAGCCAAGATGTCCATCGACAGATGAATGGATAAAGATGTGGTATATATACACAATGGAATATTATGCAGCCATCAAAAGGAATGAGATCTTGCCATTTGCAATGACGTGGATGGAACTGGAGGGTGTTATGCTGAGTGAAATAAGTCAATCAGAGAAAGACATGTATCATATGACCTCACTGATATGAGGAATTCTTAATCTCAGGAAAGAAACTGAGTGTTGCTGGAGTGGTGGAGGGTGGGAGGGATGGGGTGGGTGGGTGATAGACATTGGGGAAGGTATGTGCTATGGTGAGCACTGTGAATTGTGCAAGACTGTTGAATCACAGATCTGTACTTCTGAAACAAATAGTGCGATACATGTTAAGAAAAAAAAAAGAAGAAGTTAGCAGGAGGGGAAGAATGAGGGGGAGTAAGTCGGAGGGGGAGACGAACATGAGAGACGATGGACTCTGAAAAACAAACTGAGGGTTCTAGAGGGGAGGGGGGCGGGGGGATGGGTTAGCCTGGTGGTGGGTATTAAAGAGGGCACGTTCTGCATGGAGCACTGGGTGCTCCATTCACAAACAATGAATCATGGAACACTACATCAAAAACTAATGATGTAATGTATGGTGATTAACATAACAATAAAAAAATTTTAAAAAAAGGTCGAGTTCAAGGGTAAGATTGAATACATAAAGAAATAGCACAGTATTTGTTTATTTATTGTATTTTCTTTCCTGCCAGATAATATGCATTCAGGGACCATGCCTTTCTTTTTGCTGTTTTACTCCCGCCATGTACAGAGTAAAAGTAGATAGAAGGTACTTCATAAATATTTCTTGAATGGTTGAATTTATTAGATTTTTCTCAAAACTAGTGAGCAAAATGTACAATTTAATTATCTGTCAATTGAACAATACCAAATGCCTCATATGATAGTCTAGGCAGTGGAGCTAAAATATACGATGAGGCACTTCCTTGTTATTTAGCAAGGAATTTAAGACATTCTCATATGACATTAAATCATAAAATGCCATAGAAAACATTCATATGTTTAAATGCCCAGAGAATTAAACAGGCAGCAAAATCTACAGGTGATCAGAAAAGGAAAAGGTAAAGGTAGGTTTGGAATAATTCAGAAGACTTGTGGAAGAAGTTGCCATCTGGGGCAGGCTTGAGATGGGGCAGACAAGCAAAGCCAAGGAGGAGGGATGAGTCTGGCAGGTTTTCAGATGATTCTGATGAAGGCAGAGGAGTGAGAAATTAGTAGAAGTCACTGGAAAAGTTAACTTGAACCAAGTGTGGTAAGTCCTAAATTCTGGAGTTAGAATTATAAGTAGTATGTCTTTTGCAAAGAGGAGCCATTAAGAGGTTTTAAGCAAAGGAGTGGTGTGGCACCGGGAATATTTTCTGAAGGTAAATTTGGCAGCATCATGGGAACTGACTGAATGTGTAGAAACTGGAGCCAGAAAGACAAGTTAGAAGACTGACACAATCTTGAGCCAGAAAAAGATGGTGGTGATAGAAGTAAGAGAAAAAGGTAACAGACAACATTCAGAAGGAAGACTCAATATAACATAATGTAGAATTAATCTAGAGAAAGGTGAGTGAAGAGGATTTAAACTGCAGTGATACACAGACAGAAGGTTCAGAAGGGTGGAGACAGATGAAAGATCATTGAGTTTCATCCAAAGAACATGATTAACAATGACATCAGTAAAATAAAAGTCCCAGTGAGTATTTATCCTCTGATAACTTAAACCCGATATTTTCAAAAGTTATTATGAATCTGGAAGAATATATATGTCTTCATCTTGAGAGACTTCAGAAGTACTAGGCTTCTGGAAGTTATAATATTGGGATGGCATCTCATTTCCATAGATATGCTCCTCGAAACTGGTCTGCTGAGTGTTCTCATATAGTTCTTTATCAGTTTCTTCTTTAGGTTTGGGAGCACCACTTTCCACATTTTCATAGCTGCCATGTGTGTTAGTCCCTCTCCCAGAAGATCTGCAGTCTTGGTTCTGAACTGAGATTTTATTCCTTGAGCTGATAGCAAGGAGACATGAGAGTGTCTTAATATAATCTTTTCTCCTGCTGCTTCTCCTTTGCAAGACCCTTGGCAAGGTAAACTGCACTGGATTACCATGTTTCCAACACCAAACACACCCAATTCCACAGATCAACAAGAGGAAAAGAAGGGAAATTCCTATTGAAGTGGCCACTGATGTATTTCCACAGCTTTTCAACATTCCTCACAAGCACTGTTGTTTTGTGATATGGGGGAGCCCTTAATGAATTCACAGGTGCAGACAAACATAATTCCTTTTAGGGTTTTGTTAAAAAGTAATCCTGGAAGCTCTTTTAGGCATTTCTCTTTCAGATGTTGAAGAACAACATTTGGCAAAGTCCTGATACAATTAGAGGAGAGATTGAATAAACTTAGCCTTGGACGATCCTTCTCATTGTATGTGATGCTTTTTATATTACAATCCTTAATGTATAATTGCACTGTGTTGGGGGGATTTTAATTGACTTCACTTCGCTTTCTATCAATGAATCACAAGATGAAGCAAAAATGAGTGGAAGATAATGGCAGAGGGGACAACTCAAGAAAGAGAAGGTTGAAGGATCTGCCATCCAGACACCTCCTGTAAATTAAAAAACAAATTAATTGCATATTTATTACATAGCGTAATAGAAAAATCTGTCAATATCTACCAATATATTGAGCACCATCATTTAGTGAGTTCCTGCCTCAAAAGAGAATACAGTACTAGCTGTTGCAAGAAGAGAAAAAGAGAAGAACTTTTACCTGCTCAAGCCTGAGTGGTTTTATCAATTAGATTTCAACATGGATTTTGAAAATAAGGCTAATAAACTTAAAGTGAAAGACAATGTTTTGAATGCAACAAGAGGAAAGGACAAGAGTACACCTGTGCAATAATTTCCATTATTTATCACCTCCTCTGTGAGGCCTTTTCCTTAATCATTCCTTCCTCTGTATTCCCCTATTAATGAGTCCATTCTGTATTATAGCATGACAGCCTAAGTTATAGGGAATTGTCTGTCTTCCTACCTGGTTAAATGGTGGGCAGGGATCAGGTCTTTTCATGTGTATATTCCTAGAGAATAGCGCAGTACCTAGTGCAGAAAAGAAATTCAATTGATATTTACTAAATAAGGGAATCAAGAAACAAATGACTCCAAATCTCAGCATCTAATTGCTTAAGTCATTTAAAAACTTAAGATATGTCTTCTTTTTTTTATTTTTTTATTATGTTAATCACCATACATTACATCATTAGTTTTTGATGTAGTGTTCCATGATTCATTGTTTGTGCATAACACCCAGTGCTCCACGCAGAATGTGCCCTCTTTAATACCTATCACCAGGCTAACTCATCCCCCCACCACCCTCCCCTCTAGAACCCTCAGTTTGTTCTTCAGAGTCCATCGTCTCTCATGGTTCGTCTCCCGCTCCGACTTACTCCCCTTCATTCTTCCCCTCCTGCTATCTTCTTCTTTTTCTTTTTTCTTAACATTTGTTGCATTATTTGTTTCAGAAGTACAGATCTGTGATTCAACAGTCTTGCACAATTCACAGCGCTCACCATAAAACATACCCTCCCTAATGTCTATCACCCACCCACCCCATCCCTCGCACCCCCCACCACTCCAGCAACACTCCTGAGATTAAGAATTCTTCATATCAGTGAGGTCCTATGAAACATGTCTTTCTCTGATTGACTTACTTCGCTCAGCATAACACCCTCCAGTTCCATCCACGTTGTTGCAAATGGCAAGATCTCATTCCTTTTGATGGCTGCATAATATTCCATCGTGTATATATACCACATCTTCTTTATCCATTCATATGTCGATGGACATCGTGGCTCTTTCAACAGTTTGGCTATTGTGGACATTGTTGCTATAAACATGGGGGTGCACGTACCCCTTCGGATCCCTACATTTGTATCTTTGCGGTAAATACCCAGTAGTGCAATTGCTGGATCGTATGGTAGCTCTATTTTCAACTTTTTGAGGAACCTCCATACTGTTTTCCAGAGTGGTTGCACCAGCTTGCATTCACACCAACAGTATAGGAGGGTTCCCCTTTCTCCGCATCCTCGCCAACATCTGTTGTTTCCTGACTTGTTAATTTTAGCCATTCTGACTGGTATGAGGTGGTATCTCATTGAGGTTTTCATTTGGATTTTCCTGATGCTGAGCAATGTTGAGCACTTTTTCATGTGTCTGTTGGCCATTTGGATGTCTTCTTTGGAAAAATGTCTGTACATGTCTTCTGCCCATTTCTTGATTGGATTATTTGTTCTTTGGGTGTTGAGTTTGACAAGTTCTTTATAGATTTTGGATACTAGCCCTTTATCTGATATGTCATTTGCAAATATTTTCTCCCATTCTGTCGGTTGTCTTTTGGTTTTGTGGACTGTTTCTTTTGCTGTGCAAAAGCTTTTTATCTTGATGAAATCCCAATAGTTCATTTTTGCCCTGGCTTCCCTTGCCTTTGGCGATGTTTCTAGGAAGAAGTTGCTGTGGCTGAGGTCGAAGAGGTTGCTGCCTGTGTTCTCCTTTAGGATTTTGATGGACTCCTGTCTCACGTTTAGGTCTTTCAACCATTTGGAGTCTATTTTTGTGTGTGGTGTAAGGAAGTGGTCCAGTTTCATTCTTCTGCATGTGGCTGTCCAATTTTCCCAACCCCATTTGTTGAAGAGACTGTCTTTTTTCCATTGGACATTCTTTCCTGCTTTGTCAAAGATGAGTTGACCATAGAGTTGAGGGTCCATTTCTGGGTTCTCAGTTCTGTTCCATTGATCTATGTGTCTGTTTTTGTGCCAGTACCATACTGTCTTGATGATGACAGCTTTGTAATAGAGCTGGAAGTCCGGAATTGTGATGCCGCCAGCTTTGCTTTTCTTTTTCAACATTCCTCTGGCTATTCGGGGTCTCTTCTGGTTCCATACAAATTTTAGGATTATTTGTTCCATTTCTGTGAAAAAAGTGGATGGTATTTTGGTGGGGATTACCTTGAATGTGTAGATTGCTCTAGGTAGCATTGACATCTTCACAATGTTTCTTCTTCCAATCTATAAGCATGGAACGTTTTTCCATTTCTTTGTGACTTCCTCAAGTACTTTCATGAGTATTTTATAGTTTTCTGAGTACAGATCCTTTGCCTCTTTGGTTAAATTTATTCCTAGGTATCTTATGGTTTTTGGTGCAATTGTAAATGGGATCGACTCCTTGATTTGTTTCTCTTCTGTCTTGTTGTTGGTGTATAGGAATGCCACTGATTTCTGTGCATTGATTTTATATCCTGCTACTTTCCTGAATTCCTGTATGAGTTTTAGCAGTTTTGGGGTGGAGTCTTTTGGGTTTTCCACATACAGTATCATATCATCTGCAAAGAGTGAGAGTTTGACTTCCTCTTTGCCAATTTGGATGCCTTTGATTTCTCTTTGTTGTCTGATTGCTGTGGCTAGGACTTCTAATACTATGTTGAATAGCAGTGGTGATAGTGGACATCCCTGACATGTTCCTGACCTTAGGGGAAAAGCTCTCAGTTTTTCCCCATTGGGAATGATATTTGCTGTAGGTTTTTCATAGATGGTTTTTAAGATATTGAGGTATGTGCCCCCTATCCCTATACTCTGAAGAGTTTTGATCAAGAAAGGATGCTCTACTTTGTCAAATGCTTTTTCTGCTATTGAGAAGATCATATGATTCTTGTTCTTTCTTTTGTTAATGTATTGTATCACGTTGATTGATTTGTGGATGTTGAACCAACCTTGCAGCCCAGGGATAAATCCCGCTTGGTCATGGTGAATAATCCTTTTAATGTACTGTTGGATCCTATTGGCTAGTATTTTGGTGAGAATTTTTGCATCCATGTTCATCAACGATATTGGTCTGTAATTCTC